TATGAGCAAACAGAGCGCGCCCAAGAGCCTCACATCACGCAGCCCGGTACCAAACGACCCGCACCACAGAGCGACTGGAGACCGCTGCTATACAGCATGTTAACTTGCTTTCAATCAGCTTCACAGAGGGTAAAAATGATTTGGAAAATACGTCATCACATAAATGTGATTACACATTTATGGAAAATTATCTGTGCAAAACAGCCGCTATATGAAAACAAGGATTTCATCTTTTTCACAGTAAACCTATGATGAAGATAAATAACAATACATTTTACACATTTTTCCAAAACATAACTGTTTTTTGTTTTTGGTGTTTGCATTTAAATTCTGTCTGACACAGAGAACCCATAACTATAGAGATTCAATAACATGATAAAGTATAATGGTACTCACTTGGGGCGGTTTGAGCTGTAATTAAAAGAGAAGAAAAGTGTAAATCAGTTTGATTGTGATTAAATAATTTATTGTATTTGCAGGAAAAACAAAACAAAACACAAACAATGAGTGATTACTAAATATTTTTACACATCCCTCTGTTGAACACAGCAGGGTGAACTTTGTTACCAGCATCGTGTGGATGAGGTATCGCTGCTGTGTAACCTGGTTGCTATGACACTGTGACAAAGAGCCACAGTTGCTATATCAGAAAGCAAACCGCAGCTTTAAATCTCAAATAAAATCGAAGAATCGCAGACTTTAGGAGGAGCAGGAAACCAGTGACCCCTGTTTGAATCCAGGGGGTCTATGTGGACATGGTGGAGGACTACCACAGAGTACACTCTGATAATGAACTGGACTGGGTTAAAAACACCACTGCGCTCTATGAGGATGAAGGTCGCAGATGCCATCAGACTCAATAAACTGACCCGCAAGGTCAATAACGTTGTGGGGATGAAGCTGAAGTCCCTTAAGGTGGTGTTGGAGAGGCAGATGTCCAAGACAATGGACAAGGACGATGCTGGACAACAGCTCCTACTCACTCCATCATGTGCTGGCCACCACAGGAGCACGTCCAGTGAGAGACGCAGATTAATAGGCCTGGGTTTAAAAAACTGAAATCGACTTCCCCGATTCAACAACCAGCCAATGATTAAACCTGATGGCACGTAAGCAAACAGATGCATTTCATCCGACGACATGAAATACCATCATGTGGTGGATCCGCTGTCCACCCGCCATGTGATGACCCTCCTCCAGGATCCTCCACCCAAGGGAAATACACCGCTCTTTGACGCAGAGCGGGCTGAGACACTCCTCTCTCTCGGGCCTGGTTGATGGTGTTGCTCTTGGGCTCACGGAGAGCACGCTGTCCTTGCTAGGACCGGATGACGGCAGATTCTTCTTCTTTTACCTCTTCCCTCCTCGCTGCTGGCCGCGAAGGATTACCACTCACCGAAGAAGCGGATCGCATCCTGCTGGCTACCAGGAGCTTCAGCATCCAGGCGATAGTTCCCGACTCACCGACGGCATCTCCCGTGCCCCCACCTATTCTCCCCCGAGCCTCCGACTCATCGATGGTGGCTGGGATCGCGGCACGGTGGAAAAGAGCTGTGTTTTTACCATCAGCGTGACAGCACCGTGCCACCTTTGCAGTTTTAAGGCCCAGGGAAACGGGCTCGCCAGTGCTCTGTAGCGGCCGCGAC